TCAACATGTTCAATTCCTGTAATAACAGAATTTTTCTTATGACTGAAAACTCCACTCACCAAGCCTCACAAAGAGACTTGATTTATAAAACATCGGCCATACTGTAATAATTAACAAGCTACTTGCAGCTAGATGAAAATGAAAAAAAATTCAAACATAGGTCTAAATATTGGTAATGGAATGAAACTTAATTAAATTTACATTGAATGTGGATTGTATTAGAAATCATTTTGTAACTTCGATATGCAAAAAAAGGTCGTCTCAATCTAAAATTAGGAAGGCTTCCATTTTATAATTACAGGCTTTTAGGTGGTCCGTTACATATGTTGAACGTGGTCTTAGATGAGAGGGAGAACTATATATTAATTTACAATAACCTGCAGACATACCTCAATCCAACCATTGTGGTCAGTTACAGAGTCACATGACAAAGCAATCATCTTGACGCCACGCTTTTTGAACTCTGGTGCCTGCTTGGCCGCCATTCCAAGCTCAGTGGTACATACTGGCGTGTAGTCAGCTGGATGGGAAAACAGGATACCCCATCTGGAACAAATGTAAAAAGTGCCATAAAGGTTACAGTACCGTAAATTTTTCAGGATTGTTTTTATTCATTTATTCAAGAGTCCAAAGTCTCCCGGAAGTCTGCTGGAAATTGGGACGGCCTCCCGCACTCCCGTAAGCCAGAATCTCCCAGAAAGAAATCCATCTCCCACAAATTCATAATAATTTGCATGTTTTTTTTACTAATTTATTATTAACTGCAGGGGCGGATTTAGGGGGTGGCCCGGCCCCCGCCCCCGCCCCTTTTGGGAGGTAAAAAAAAAGGGAAAAAAATGATAGGCCACAATGCCTCAAATGCCATTTTCGGGCGTCTAGAACACAAAAATTTCGCGGGGGCATGGCCCCGGACCCTCTGGGACATTGTTGTCTCGATCGGCCCAAATTTCGGCCACCCCTTTTGGACATCTCTGGATCAGCCCCTGAACTGTCTCACGGAAGTCATTGCCAAGGGGTACCCCCATGCACAGAAAAGTAGATTAAATTTGTTAAGAAAGCTCACTTAACCAGATCTCCCAGAAAGGATTTCTTCCAGCCTGTGACTCGTTTGCCAAAAATAAATGAGTAGCCTGGATGAGCTAGTTACCCAGCTAAAAATTTTACAATAATGCTACAGTTTAGAGTACATATTATACTAAATGAATAACATTGCAATGTTGGCATCTTCTCACAAATTAACCTAATTAATGTTAATTAGTTAATTAACATTCGAGCATGTGTTTGTCATATCATAGTTTACATTAATTATATTCAATGTAAACCTAAACTTGTTTCTCTTAAATTCAAAATAAACAACTTGTGTTGAATTATGGTGGCTAAGTTTATGTCCCCGAGCCAAGTCAATATGTGAATTCAGAAGACAAATTTGCACTGAACATCACATTTTAACTTCTTTGTTATTTTATTTCTTCTGGCTAACAGTACGACACACACAAATAAAAAGACAAAGAAGGAGGGCGGCGAGGGATGCTGGGGAGGGGCAAAAGTTGTACAAAAACTACCATCAGAGAAATGGTGTGCCCCTCTTCCTAAACATTAAACATCAATTCAAAAAATAGCTACAAAAATACAAGATTATTACTATATACTATAAGAGACAGCACACACACACACAATATCTTTTTGTTTCATTTATTGTTGCATTATTTATTTACGATTCTGAACTTTGCCACTGTTTCTTTTGAATTGTTTTGTGCTTGGGTTAGGCAATGATCCTAACTGCTTGTGGGTTGTGAGGTGCCTAAGTATGTGAGGTGCCTAAGTATGTGGGGGCAGTACTTTATATGACCTGATTGGATTGGATTGGATATAAAAATTCAAATATACAAAATAAATAAAAAAAATCACAGAATTTTGCAAAAATCAACATATTATAAAATTCAAAAAATTATAAAGTATTATCTCAATAACAATTGAACCTCATAAGCCAGAAACAAGTAAAAAGATACAAAATAACTAATGTTAAATTTTAACCATTAAAAATTAATTATAAAAATAGCGATAAAAATACTAGATCATTATTTTTTAAATTTAAATATAAAAATATTATCAAAAATCAGACAATTGCAAAATCGACATATTATATTCTAAAAAGCAATTACCGTACTGACGTGGGTATATGCCTAATATATTTGGCCTCATTTTCATGCAAAATGAGGCACTCAGGTATAATCCCACACAATAATTTGAAGATTTGAGTGCAGTATAAATCTTGACGCAATTTTGTGTCAGTTAATTAATAATTAGCAAATCAAAGCATAAGCTTGACAATTAAAAATTCTTATTATACCAGTTTTCCATTTTTCTCCAAGACCAACTACATCCTACCTTTAATTTTTTTCTTTAATATAAATTTTAAAAAAATTTTTTTTTTATTTTTGTTTATTTTTTACTTTTTTGAAATTCTTTTTGGAAGGTAAAAAAAAAAAAAAAAAAAAAAAAAATATGTTAAAACCCACATTCCAGAACTAGTGGGATTTACCTCTCATTCGGCCAGATTTTCATTTGGGTGTTAATCTGAAAAATTTCCAAAGACGGAGATAAATAAAATTACAGTGCTTTGGTATTAATATAATAACTACGCATGCTAAACTAAGCACACCGTTCATCACATTCCTAGCTAGTAGTAGTGCTACTAGGCAGGCCCAGGGGGGTTTTTATGGTTTGGGAGAGCCCCCTTTTCTTGCAAACCCCACTCTTTTCTTCTTTTCTAGCAAACCCCCCTCTTCAAATTTCCCAAATAAGTCCTCCAACCCAACTAATGCACTGCAGACCCACCCAGACAAAGACCTTTTCAAACATATGCTTTTATAGCATTATTTAGACCCATAAAGCACAAATCCCTTTGCTTTGGGGGTTTCGCCGACCCCACCGGGGCTTCGACGGTGGACCTCACGCCCAGACCCCCCCCCCGCCTTGGAAGAACCTGGCTACGGGCCTGCTAGGCCTAGTTCAGAACCAATTTCAGTTTTTATGTATAGGCCTAGGACCTAGCCTATGCCACACTAAGCTAAAGTAGGCTTAGTAGTACTGTACTTCTGAATGTATGTTTAGGAGGAGTGGTAGTAGGCTAGGCCTAGGGCCTAGTATCTGTTCAATAAACTACAACTAACATTGTGCAATACTTACGAGTCTCCTAGCCAAGAATGAAACTTGATTTTGCCGATAGTTGTTTCAGCTTCGAAGTCTGGAAAAACATCTCCCAAGTTAACCATTTTCGTAATTCGTGGGTTTTCTTGAACTTGAACTCCAAAACTTCCTCCCAGGCACCAATTAATGGATGGAAAGGCGACTTTCAACGTGTCGGATGATTTTATTAGCCTCTCCGATCGGAGTTGGCCATTTTACAAGATGTAATATTTCATATAATATATTATAATTAATACATATAAATATCAATTCAGAAATGTTACTAAATTATTTTATTTCGAATGAACATCAAAATACAGACTAGTTTAAATGTAAGTTGTTTTTTTTTTTTAATTTGATGTACAGTAATATAATTAGCCTAAGTATCAGTAACAGAGATTACTTCCCTGTATAAATAAATGGAATAATCGATGTAAAAGTACAGTAATCGTGTCTTATAAACACCGTGGTATGTACTGTGACTACCGCTTGGGATATATCCTAAGATCTTGGTGTTTTTAATTACCCCTTGGAATCTTGGAATTTTTTGTTAAATTTTCAATAAATCTTGGGATTTTTAGAATGATATGGAATTTAAAATTTTGTTTAATCAATATGTGAACAAATAGGCTCTGCTAATGACCTTATAACACCATAGTTCAGAGGGTTCAACAAGACAAGTTGTCCAATAGCCATTTTTAAATCATTTTCCAAAAATAATAAGGTGCATGTTTTAAGCGAAATCTCTTGATATGTGTCCCATTCGGCGGATATGCTGTTTGCTTCAGTGTAGGGTAGTAAAGTTGAGCATGAAGCATCATTATTGGTATTATTAATTAATATGCATTATTTTTTTCTTCATTTTTTATTTTATTTTTTTATGTTTCATTTTTTTTTCTTTTTCCATGTTTATTATTTGATAATATTTATATTCTTACCACTATTGTATAACTGCATGTATGTAATTGTATAATAATTTGAAAGGCAAATGGGAAAAACCCATAAAACAGCAAACGGCCATATAATGCAAAACAATTTAAAATTAAAACGGAACAGTAGAGAAAATCCAATCAGAAAGACAAAATAAACTAAGCATCCACTGGAGGGAATCCCAATATCTGTAGACGGATCTGTTTCGGCCTTCCAGGCCTCATCAGTGCAGCTAGGGTACAGACCCAAACGAAACGTTTGACCAGCTTAGGTAGGGCCCAAACTAGTCCCACAACCACTAATGATTACAGAGCCAAACCAAGGCAATATATATATACACAGCCCAGGTGTGAATGCAAATAGTGGAATACAAGCTATGCGGTTCGGTTCCAGTAGATACAGAGAATATTTTGTTATTCTTAACATGGGAGGCGGAACCGGGGGGGAGGGGGGCCGGGCCCCCCCACTTTTTGGCGAAAAATATATAATGTCTGGAGAACTTTGTATGATCGGAAATGCAAAAAAAGGAGGAGGGAAGAAGGAGAAGGATGGGAAAGAGAATGTTTATCCAGTACCCGACCGAGTTACATTTTCTCGCAATTCACATTGGCAGATCTGGGAGGAGGGGATCATGGGTCTTGACCCCTCCCTTGTGCAACAAAAAAAAGGGGAAAAAGAAAAGGATTCTAGACCTACCTTTTCAGGACCCGTGAGCTGATTTTTTTTTTTTTTTTTGCTATTAGAAAATTAGAATTTTGAAGAACATGAAATTCATTAAAACACACTTCAAATGTCGGGAAAGCTCAATTACCGCCATCTAGGAATTAAAATTTTCCCGGACCACCCTTTCTTTTTGGGATTTATCGATTCATGGAAAAAAAATTACGCATGCAACTACTCATTTGTTTATGTATGTATACACACATAAAATAAAAAATGAGAAAAATTTACCTGACCTTTTTAAAGAGGGGAAAACCTTGTATTTTGAAGAACTTTAAAAGTCATTAAAAGACATTTCAGAAGTCAGGTAAGCTCATCTCCTGCCATCTAGAAATCGAAATTTTTCCGGGGAACCCGGACCCTTTATCTTTGGAGTTCATTGATTAATTGAATCATTTTCAAGGGGTGGGGCCCTTGCCCCCCCCCCCCCAGGACCCAAGACCTGTCTCTTATACACACGGGGAAAGCTCATTTCCCGCCATCTAGGAATCAAAATTTTCCCGGGGAAGAACCACAGGACCTCCCCACCCCCCACCTTTCTTTTTGGGATTTATCGATTCATGGAAAAACTACGTATGCAACTTACCCAATCTTTTTTTATGTATGTATACACACATAAGGCCTATTTACTGTAATAACAATGGGAAAAAATTATCTGAAAGTTTTCAAGAGTGGAAAACCTTGAATTTTGAAGAACTTAATTACTTTTAAGTTCTTCAAAATTCAAGGTGTTCCCCTCTTGAAAATT